CAATAATAGTTCTAGCAACAACACCCATTATGTTTTTTATAATTCAAAATAATAAATAAAACTGTTGGGAGAGGATACAAATGGTGAAGAGCCATGAACGAGTCCTGAATGTGATGATTCCTTTCTGCAAGTATTGGATAGCGACTGACAGATTTTAATATGACATGAGGTGCTCATACAGTACAATCAGTGAATTTACAGATAAAGAATGAGTTCTTGCATGCCTCAACTATCTATAAAAGAGCCAACCTATAGTTTTAAGAAGTGAAAAGATGGTCATAATCATCCACACTCCAGCTGCAAAATAACAACTGAGTGAGTTATTCCACCGTACCTTGTCCTGATGGACTGAGACTAACTCTGATGATAGACACTAGTCATAGGACTCAGCTGAATGCACTTCTATCTTCCTAGCAATGGAGGGGCAAGCGCCCTGGCTCCTGAAAGCAAAATTTAGAAAAACGGGAATGGCCAATGGTTGAGAATATTCCTATGACAAAATGCTATAAAAGCCAAAACAGCAACCAAAGAGCTTACAGAAGAGATAAATAGAGTATACTGAAACAAAAGGACAGCTCAAAGTGGCTCCTACAGCTAGAATGGCTGGATAAAAGAGAAGATTGTTCAGCCTGTCTTTCCTCGAAAAATCCGCCATTTTTACCACCACTTTGGGTGCGCGTTAATTAGAATCATTTCGGTGCATAAGGTCCATTGACTTACAAAGGCTGCATTCTGGAGGCTGGAAGGGGAAGAAAGAAAGTATTGGAATATTATATTCCTTTGCCATACTTACATACCCAAAGGATCAGCTAAAATTGAATGTGTTGGAGTGCATCAACAATGTAAGTCCAATACAGGTACAATATGCTAATCTATTATTTCCAAAGGTCAATGATTGCTCATTGCTTCATAGTGCTTCAAGTGATGTGACTTTTGTTGCAAGGAGTGTGTAAATACAGTCAATGTATTGCAAATTTTTGTTTTATTTATATTTTATTTATTCAAATTGGGCTATAAAAATTATACAATACAATAAGAACAGTAAAAATAGAAGGAGGAAGGGAAAAGTGCAATTAAATAACAAAAATACTATTGATACGAAATAGCAATAAAATTTAAGCAAACTGCATGTTTTATGGCATCCAGACCAAGAGATGCTTAATACTACCACTCTAAAGCTTGTTCTTTAGCACTTTCTCCATAGCTCTTGGAAAGTCGCCATTTTGATAATCAATTTTTATGTGACTTGTGGTCACGTGTCAAGGATAACCGAATCTGATTGGTCACGGCAGATTCTGGACGCGAGAACAAAACTAGGTGGCTCAATGTATCAGACCCTTCCCTGCCGTCCACCCAAATGAGTATAAGTGGGAAGGGTATGGCTTACAAGACTAGACATGTGTGTGTACATACATTCAGTACACATAATTTAACATACCACAGTGCTGATTGATATCTCTAATATATAAATATTGTTAGCATCAGTATTCTTAGCATCATCCCGTACTCCACCAAACAGAACAGCTCTAGTGTTGTTGATCTTTTCAATGATGAAGCTAGCAGCAGGTGGTATACACTGACCAATGATTGAAGGATTATTCCATTTTCCTAAATTATTATTATTAATATAATTTCAAACAGTAATATAAAATCTTACTTGATGATAGATTATACATTGAGTGCTCATTAGTAAACCATGTTCCATCAGGAAACTTAATATATTCATGATGAGGTAGTTGTACAGCTGGTTTAGATCCTGCTCCTCCTATCATTAGTAAATGGTGTACTCCATCATGCTCAAATGATATCATTCCACCATCACTTCTCCTCATAACTGGTCTAGTTGCATCAGTTGGTTCTAATTCTCTCCATTGAAGACTAACGGTATCCAGTTGTGTAATACTGTTGTGAAAGCAGAAATCATGGCCACATCGTCCCCCGAAATAATACAATTGATCATTTATTGCAGTACAGGAGTACAATCTTACTCCTAATGGAGGAATACCAGTAGTAGCTCTAGTGATCCATTGACCACTTGAAGGAGTAAAGTGCTGTATATTACTAGTGATCCTTCTCTTCTCTTCACTATCATGTACTCCAGGTAAACCATCCTGATCACCAGCCCACACATACAGTGAATCACCTCGTACTGATACAGTGCGGTGAAAGGCTCTTCCCTTCAGTTGATCTATATATCAATGATTGACAGTACATAATACTGGAATAGTAACATCAGGTCTTACTTTTAGAACCGAATAACCAAGCCATTGCAAGCAGCTCCTGCCTGGATTGCTCGCGGCATATACACTGGCCACATGCACAGTGGGCAGTCCGGCGCCCGCCAGCCCCACAAACTGGATCACGTGATATACAAAACTGGGACTGGGTGGAGCTAATTATTTTTTTTACAAAGTTCTAATTGCAAAATGTGATTTTCTTGTGATTTTTGTTTAAAGTATTTAGATATTAATACCGCTTTAAGTACAGTAAAACAAGACAAATATTTATGATTGTGTGAAGGAATCTCTCCCTGTCCTTCAATGTCTCTCCCTCTCTCTCTCATCATTACAAAAATGAAGAGAGAGAGAACTAAATGAAATTAAAACTTTGTAAATCAACTAATACAAAATAATAATAATAATAATAATAATAATAATAATAATAATAATAATAATAATAGATGATTAAATGATCATTAAAAGTATACCATTAGTACTAGTACATGTACTTCCTTTATT